GAGAGAGAGAGAGAGAGAGAGAGACAGACAGACAGACAGACAAACAGACAGACAGACAGACAGACAGACAGACAGAGACAGAGGGGAGACAGACAGAAAGACAGACAAACAGACTGAGAGACAGACACACAGACAGACACACACACAGACACACAGACAGGGAAAGAAAGAGAGTAGTTGTACTCTCAAATTAATATACACCAAAACATTAAGACATCAATATCACTCAACTCACAATGCAATAGTAGTCGTTGCCTTCAGGCACACACGTGCCTTTAGAGTTGCACGGGTCTTCGTTGATCTCACAAGCGTCCACTTCCTCACAGTGAACTCCCTTGTAGCCCTTGAAGCATGCGCACTCCCAGTCATAGTCTGACTTCCGGATACAGTCACCTCTGCCCTTCTGGCACGGATCGGGCATGCAGGGGTCCAGATTCTGAGATGGGAAATGAAAAAAGTGTAAGTTTAATGCCCCTTTGCAAAATTCTAACTTCATTTAAGAGGCGGGAGCTCTGAATTTAACGTCCTTCTCCAATTGGACCGAGCCGTCATAAAGGGAAATGCGTGTGAAGTGTCTTTCCCAATTACACAACGTCGGATCAAACAGAGGCTCGAACCTCCAAACCCTCAATCTCACGATTACAGGTCCGATAACCTAACCACTAGACTGCCGACGCCACCGATCCAAATTCTGAGCGAAGGAAAGTGAAGGGTTGAAGGGTGGGGAGGGTGGATTGGAGGTTGGGATAATCTTTAAGGTAGAGGGAAAGGCAAAAATAATCGCATTTACCGTCATTGTCATACCACAATTGCGCGCCCATAAGTCCTTTTTTTATTTTGAGAAAATTAAAAAAAGAGCGCAAAAAATCGAAACAATGACGTTAGCGCTCGTAATTTTTCTGTTAAAAACTAGGAAGGAAGAAATAAACTATAGTGCGATCAAAACTCGAGTCGCAACTTGCTCTCAAATATCTCCTAAACGGGTGAATCAATGTTGCCCATCATTTTTTCACAGCAGTTTGTATCAATTTGTCTTAACTTAATCATATTTTTACACAACAGTTGAGGCTAGATTTAAAAAAAAAAGCTTTACTTCATAAATTTATTATATAAAATGTTACAAATCTCCTTCACGCAGAAAATGGAATTGTTCACACCACTTCCCGCTTCTGAAACACATTTTGTATACGCATATGGGATACGTCACAGCGCACCAATGACACTTTTTTGTGGCAAAACTAGTTACAAGAAATTAATTTTATTTTGAACACTTTTTTGCATTAAAAGTTATCGAAACATGCGTTCAATAAAGATAATATCGCGATTAAAAAGACATGACGGACTTCTTTTAAAAGCGACAATGCACCCCCCCCCATGTAAACCTTTCAAAATCAGTAGAAACCACCCACTAGGATTTTTTATTAAGTATTTATTAAGGAATTTTCTAGAATAGAGCGAACAGGTCTTTACAAATATATTGATCTGTTAAGACAAATTGATGCAAGTCACTGTGCAATAGCTGGAGAGTTTATGTCCGATTGTTGAGGAGATATTTGACAATAAGTTGCGCCACAAATTTTTGACCTCACTATAGCACGAAACTGTCTCGTAAGATGTCCCTCGATTTCTAGAGAATATGGCCGGGCAGGTGCAATATTAGGTACCGTTGTCATGACAGACCATAACAGACATGCGTTATATGCAAACCGACAAACAAGCATACAAACAGACGAGTAGCTAACTACTCGCGAGATAGATAGATAGTTAGATAGATATATATATATATATATATTTAGATAGATAGATAGATAGATAGATAGATAGATAGATAGATAGATAGAGAGATAG